TCTTAAGGACAGGCAATATCTGTGTCTCAAAGTCGATCTCAGGTTGGAGGTCTGCCGAGATAGCGACCAGCGCAAATACTACGATAAATATGAAACCACAGATAAGTCCTATTAAATTTGGGTGCTGTTCACGCTTCATCCATTAACCCCTTTAACTGATTATTCCCCTCGGATCGTTCGTCGCAAGGCTCTCATCTGTTCGAGTGTCGCGGGCGAGACCTTTCCATCTTGAGTGATCCCTATATTCATCGTAATTACGAGCTTCTGGGCAATACACGTCTGCATGTAGTCAATAATCTGCTGATTGGTGAACAGGGGTGGATCAATGTCGGTGTCCGGATATCCGTGTTGCCATGGATCGTCAAGAAAAATCATACCGTGCGGTTGTAATCCGCTTGCAGCACCACCTTCGGCAAAGAAACTTGCTGGCGGAGTTACGAAAGCACCACCAAACTCACCACCATAGTACTCCTGAAATTCAGTCGTTTTCGGAAGAATCCAGCTGTTCCAGGAGACAATACGGGTCAGGGTTACCAACTTTGGTCGCCTTATACAGATCCTCAAACGGTTGTAGCGGATACCTATCGTCGAACCAGTATCCTGCAATCTTTTTGCCGTATCGGTGTCCGATCTCGGTAAGAATGTCGCATTCGATTTTGAAGAATCTCGACTTGTCCGGATTTAAAAACCCAGCGGCTTCTTCCCACTCGGGATCTCCAACACCGTGATGGAAATAGATGATGAGTGGAATGCCGCGTTCTTGCAACTTGTCAGCCATCTCTCCAATCAGATCGCGTCTACACGTGCGTTCCGGCATAACCGCTTCGATCGATTTTAGGGGAGCAGGGAAATGCATAATCCCGTGTACAGTCGTGAAAATGACGTAGCCAGCCCCGGTCTCACTCACCATATCAGCGAAAGCATCCAGGTCAAAAGCTTCCACTGCCTCTGGATAAGGTTTCTGCGGTCCACGCAACGGCTGCGTCGTTGTCGACCAGTGGAACATCACGCCGTACTTCGCCGCAACGAACCAATCTGTCTTGGCACGCATCTTTTGCGCCCTTTCCCTTGAAGTAATCATTGCCGCGTTAGCAGTGGGGGAAATCAACTCAAGCGAATGGATTTTCACGTTCGCTTTGGATTGTGCCTCTCCGATGAGACGGAGCGTAATTGTGCTTTCACCTGCCGGGATGTGTAATGTTCTCTGAAGCAGTCTCCTTTCAAAGTTCTGCGAATCTCCTGCCCATCCGCTTGTTGGGTGGACTGTGCCAGCGATTCTGTTTTGTCCTGCAACAATCTCAAACTCTGAGCCTATCGCATCGGTATCCGCAGTGTAGGTTACCGCAATCTCATAATCACAAGGACTAAGGAGTTTAACGTTCCACAAAATCGAACCTGATTGTTCGTTCCAACCTTCAATCCAATCTTGTGCCTGCAAATGCACAAGACCGTCATCAACCTTGGCACTCTCTCCCAAAAGATAGACAACCGAGGAAGAATCTGCCTCAACCAATTGTGGTTTCTTAAGTGTAGCGGGATCTCCCTCAATATCAAGAACGACGATGTCATCAACACCATTTTGGTATTCCCTCGGGACTACAACTATGAGTCCCCACGGATGCTGGCGCACGATTCCCCACGAAGTGCCATCCGCTTCCGGATTTCCCAGAATCCAAGCGTTCTTCACCACTCGATCGATAATGGCGGGGAGGATGATATGGTTTTCTCCTTCCCAGGAAAGCACATGAACGTAGATTTTGCCATCCTTATAAGTGGTCACATACCGGTCAGTAGGATCAAAAGGACCACCGCGAGTACCAACGATCGACTCTCCGTTCTCATCAATCCACTTCTTAATCGCTTCATCCGCTCCGATAGATTCGGATCTTTCCTGACGACCCAACAGCGGATTAACATTAATCTCGGAATGGCTGCCCGCTGCACGCACCATGTCCACAATCAATCCCTCGACAGTCTCTTGGTTATGCATAATCTCCTCTTGGTGGTTCTTCACAAATTCATTACAGGTTAGTAGGCTCCACACCATGTCCTCAAGGATCGCCCGTTGGGAGTTGGCGGATGCCCTGACATCAATGTGCTGTTTCCAAAACTGTTGCTCAGTATCCGTTGGAGGTCGACTTAGCGCAGCGAGGTAGAACTCGTTAACGATCTCCATCGGTGACCTTCCGATCGACATCAGTCTGTCGAGTCGACTATCGGGAACACCGATGCGGGCATTGAGAAGGTCACCGTTAAATAGGTGTAGTTTACGTTGAAGTCCATCGATTGCTGCGGTTGAAGTCTCGCAAGAGTTTCACGCCCACAGCGTCCGAGGATATCAAGCGCGTCGGATTCGGTGTTTGGATCGAACAAAGAGACAGCACGGGTCCCTTCCGGTTCATTGCCATAAATATCAGGGACACCGAGTACATCTGAGATAGCATCCGCCAACACCTCTGGCGCGAGGGGTTTCGGAAGCGCGTGGGAATAGAAGCGATCATCCGTAGTGTTTTGAGGCAGCGTATTTGCACTGCGGGCGTAAGTCGCACTGAGAGCGATGCGCCTGAGCGTCCGTCGCAAATCGTAACCGTGTGCCACAAAATCGTCAGCTAACGTTGTCAACAATTCAGGATGCGTAGCAGGATTGGTGGATCGGAAATCGTCCACAGGTTCGACTAACCCACGCCCCATCATGGCTCTCCACAATCGATTGACGATGGCTTTGGCGAAATATGGGTTGTCCGAACCTGTTAACCAGTCCGCCAATTCCACTCGACCATCAGCAACATCGGCAGGCAAAAACCGATCGCCGGGGATCCGTGGGACCGCCTTTTCGCGGGTTGCCGGATGGATAACCTCGCCAGAGGGTTTTACTTTGACGATCTGATCGTCCTCTATTTTGGCAAAGATTGCCGCTAATCCGTGGTAATCGTCCTGTGTCCACTTGTCGAGTGGGTGATTATGGCAATTCGCGCATCGGAGCCGGGTGCCCATGAAAAGTTCGCTCATAAACTCGGCTTGTTCACGCGGTCCATTGACGGTGCGGTAAAAATTCGCAGGACCGACTTCATGGGAATCACCTGTCGCCAGAATGACCGAGCGTGCCACCTGATCATACCCCACTCCTTCGCGAATCTGTTCAGAAAGCCATTGGTGGTAGACAAGCGCGCCTTGTGTGTTTCTTTCCTGTGCGCCAATCCGTAGCAGCTTCGCCAACTGCAATGTCCAGTACTCGTTAAATTCATCAGACTGAAGCAATGTATCAACTAATGTCTCACGTTTCTTTGGGTCTGGATCCGTAAGGAATGTCGCCACCGTATCAGGAACAGGCAATCGTCCAGTCAGGTCGAGAGTTACGCGGCGCAAGAAGGTGGTATCATCAGCTGGTATGGATATAGGTAACCTCAACGTCGCCAGCAATTTGAGGATTTCTTCATCTATATTATTAATTGCAGATTTTGAAGGCGTATGCGTTTCGCCATTTTCATGAATATACTGTTGTACAGGAGCCTCGTTCAAAGGTGCGATAAACTCGATCGGGACCACCTCCGTGAGATAGCGAGCAAGAATAATATGCCGACCGCGGCGATTCACTTTGGCTACGGCAGTGGCTGCGTCAATTTCAACTGCTGAGGTATCCTCTGGGGTAAAGACAGTCCATCGTGTTACATCTTCCGTTGTGGAATTTGAAAAATGTGCCTTTGCTTGCAATTGAATTGGACTTTCAAGATTTGTGATCACCTGTTTTTGTGGGTGATATTTCAATACGTTCTAATTGACGCAGTGTTTCATAGTGAGCACCTTGCTGGATCCAATTGCGGAGTAATTGCGCGCCTTCTCCATCTTCATTTAAGACCTGACCGCCGCCCATGGCTGGTTTGTGCTGTCGGCTTTAGACGACGAGGCTTTCTTCTGGGTGCATCAGATTGATACGCCTACCAGCGAGTTGCCGAACAATTGCCTTATAGTCCGCTTGTGGATTACCACCGAAGAGCGACAACTTGAATTCACCTCTACCCGCTGCTGCGCCATGGCATGCCCCCGCGTTACACCCAAACTTAGTGAACACCGGCATTAAGTCATTTTCAAAATCGACGCGATTGGATAATTTTGAGATATTTTGTTTTGAGGCGACAAAGTTAGTCTGATCGCTGTCTGCAAAGGATATATTCTGGTGGACGTGACCGCACAAGAATAGCACAGCTGATAATGTCAATGCTATGAGAGTGAATTGGTTCGTTTTCATTGTTTCGTCCTTGTCTAATCTATATTTTATTTTAATTCATTCTCAATCTCAGATAGATTCGTTTCTTCAATGCAATACAGATGCGTAAGTGAACGTAGGATTAGTGCATTGCCAGCAACCGCACCAGATGCGATGAATTCCCCGTCAAACTCGTTCCGTGCGAGCAATTTGAACTCTCGCACGGCAGAAATAACTGACACTCTCCCCTCCATGCTAAAAAAGTAGATGTTTCCACCCGCATATAAGGGTGATGCCCAGTGATTTCCACCGACACGACCTTTCCATACAAGATTTCCACGCTTTGCCTCTACACAAGAAACCACACCACCTTCGTTAACCATGAACATCAAATCATCTACGATCAGTGGCGACGGTATTTCAGGGCACCCCTGCGACTGCTCCAAACATTGGACAATTTTTTTAGAATTCTCGTGCGATGGGTTGGGTTGATAGAAATACCTTAGGTCTACCTCTAAACTCACTTCTCACTATAACGTCGTCTCGATAGTATACAAACGACCTAACTTATTTTCTCGAACGTATGAACCTAAAGGTATTATAAGGTTAACACCGATTTCGCCATGGACAATTGAGGCAGCTGCCATCGGCACCAATTCCCTTTTATATGCTCATAACCCTCTAAATCGTTTTCAAGAAATTCCTCTTGTGTCATTGTGAGGGGTGTTGGTATCTCTTGAATAGACTCAGGATTCGTCTGCGAATTAAGCATCAGGTATCACCTCGCTTGTAGCGTCTATTTCTTATTATGTTGGGAGATAAGTTTTATAACCTCGGTTCTACCCGCTTTCACCTCTGTCTCGTCCACTTCCATTTGCAATAATCCAACTACAAACTGTGTCAACTGCCAATCGAGGCGCGCCACGTCCGTGGGAATGGTACCGTCATTGCTCCGGAGCGTTGTATCTGCGCCGTTCTCAAGAAGTAATTTTACCGTTTCGATACGTCCGAGAAAAGCCGCCGAGTGCAACGGAGTGGTACCGTCTCGGTTCCGAGCATTGACATCAGCCCCTTTTTCAATGAGCAATTTAGCTGCTTCGGTCTGTCCATTCAGTGCAGCCCATCCCAAGGGGGTTATTCCGAATTGCGAATCCAATGCGTTCAGATCCGCGCTATCGCCTAACGCATCATTGATAGCCGAAAGATCGCCTGCCGAAGCTGCTTTCCATAAGTTGTGTGATGGAGATACGTTCTTCGGTTGTTTAGAGAGCAGTTCGATAACTTTGGTTCTGCCTGCTTTCACCTCTGCCTCATCCACCTCAATTTGTATCATACTGATGATGGCTTTGGTAAACTCCCAGTCCAGTTTTGCCCCATCCATCGCGGTGCCGCCGATGTTACTCTGGAGGTTGGCATCCGCACCCTTTTCAAGTAGGAATTTCACTGTCTCAATACGTCCGAGGAAAGCCGCCGCGTGGAGTGCTGTTCCACCGTCCCGGCTTCTCCCATTGATATCTGCGCCGTGTTCAAGAAGGAGTGCTACAACTTTCGTATGCCCCATCAGTGCAGCGGTAGCCAGCAACGTGCTTCCAGACTGTGGATCTTGCGCGTTAGGGTCCGCCCCATCTGCTAAAGCCTGTTTAACCGCTGTAAGGTCGCCGGTGAACACCGCTCCTGATAACATCTGTGGTTGGGATGTGCCTGCTTCGTCGAACGTGTCGTCAACCCCGAAGAGTTTCGCAATTTCGTTCCGACCTGTTTTCATGGTTGCGATCTCTTCCTGTCCGACCTCAACGCCTACCAAGCTACCAATGAAAGTAGTAGTTCTCCAATCAAGATGCAACGAATCTGCTGGTGTCGCGCCATCATCGTTGCGTGCTTGGAGGTCTGTGCCGTTTTCGAGGAGAAGTTTCGCGACACCCGCTCTGCCGAACACTGCTGCACTGTGCAACGGTGTACTCCTTTTACCGTCTTTCATATTAACATCAGCACCATTTTCGATAAGGAGGCGAGCCGCTTCAGTTTGTCCGTGAAGTGCGCTCCATGCTAATGGAGATAGGTTTAAATCATCATCTGGTGCGTTGACATCGGCACCTTCTGCGATGTAGCGTTTCATCGCTGGAATATCGCCGATGCGTGCGGCATGCCACAAACCTTCTTCAGGCAATTGGATAAATTGCTTCATGTCAAACCCATCGGGTCCCATAACGAATGGTGGGCGCGGTTTCTTTTTCCAGAGAGGCATTCCGTCGGCAATCTCCTGCAATATGTCGCTTTCACGGGTGCGAATAAAGTGACTGACTGTCTCAAGTGTGTCCTCAAAAGTAACGTTTTTCTCCGGCCATTCTTCTCCCTTAAAGGCACGTTGTCCAGGTATCAGATGCGGCTGAATCATTGCAGCGATTCTGTCTAATTCAGCTAACAGTTCTGTCTCATTCCAATGATTTTTGAGAAGTTCTGTCATTGTTTTCGCATACCGTTCGCGTCCTGACTCAAGCTGATAAAGTCTGTGCGCAACCAACCCTTGTGTCTTGACGGAGATCGGTGCGCGTGAATTTCTCTGGAACTCAACCATACTAAAGTTTGTAAACAGCGCATCCGCACCCCACGGTAGGAAGTGAAACTTGTCTGTCTCCGGGTTGAGATAGATAAAGAAGTTATTATTGTTTCCAGAGTAGCTATCCCAGAAACCGAGCAGGCTTTCTACTGCCCAAAACCGATAAAAACTATCTAAATCGACGAGTTCGCCAATAGCTTCTTCCGTTACTTGGTCATCTGCAAGCACATCGATTAACGCTATGATTTTTTCTCTGCCGAGTGCATCGTCGCCCCTTTTATGTTCAAAACTATTCTCCCACTCCTTGTTAAAATCGACGACAGTGCCTTCGTAGAGCGTGCCTTTGTTATTTCCGAATGCACGTTTCAGCAGCGGTTTGCGCATGCTCTCCACATGGGAGTAGATACCAAGACTTTTGCCGTTCACCGTCACTTTCGCGTAAGCGCACCGCGGTGCGGGGGATCCGGTTGCATTAAACAGCGCGTAGCCCATAAATTGGCTAACTTGGCTCATATCTTGTTGGTTATTATTAAGTGTGAGGTTTGTTAATCCTTCAATCTCAGCCTCTTTGTCAATGTGATTTAGTTTGATCTTGAGAGAAGGCCGTGTATTGCTTTGCGAACCGATGAACCCTTTTTTGCGGATCCCGACTTTTGGGAATACCACACCGTCAATGCTCACACTTGCTTCAACATACGTATACGGATGTTCGATCGGCGCAAATTGCCGACTCTCATTCAGCGCGCTCATAAAATTCCGTGACTGATACCGAATCGTATCCCAATCCTGCTCCGAAACGGTAATCTGTACATCTATAACCCGATCTGTTGGGAAAATATCGTCTAATGTAAGTTCCTTCGCATTGCTGTGAGTAGCAATCCCGAAACAGAGGACTGTTGCCAAGCATATTGTCATTTTTGATTTTGTCATTTTTTTCTCCTATTATTTCGATTATAGTCTACAATTGACGTCAGTTCGCCTTAAACATTTCGTATGTGCTAAGGGTTCCATTTTCGCGCGTCAAAGACATAAGTTGTAGCACTAACTGTCTTTGGAAATACGTGTGTTTCTCAAAGGTTTCCGTGTGGTTCGTAGTAGCGCAATTCATTGCGCGTTGCGTAAGTCCTAATTAACAATGAAGGTTAGAGAAGTCATCAAATTACTTACAGATGATGGTTGGTTTCTTCACCGAACAAAAGGCAGTCACAGACATTTTAGACACCCAACTAAATCCGGCAAAGTAACAGTTCCAGGAAAAATGGGTAAAGATATTCACCCCCATACATTGAACTCCATTCTTAAACAAGCAGCTTTAAAATAAAGGAAACTTTAACTAATGCGTTATCTTGTAATTTTTGAACAAGGCGATATAAATTATAGTGCGTATGTCCCAGATCTTCCTGTATGTGTAGCAGTAGGTGATACGCTTGAGGAAACACGAAAAGAAATCGCTGAAGCCATGAAATTTCATATCGAGTGTCTACAAGAAGATGGGGAGATTATTCCAAAGCCCACTTCAAAATTGCCTGATCAAACATCTTCAGATGTTACAGCGGAATTCGTTGAGGTTGGAATAGATAACACCAGACCTGCAAAGCAATCCAATTTACCTTTTTTTACAAATATCATGTCTCGCTTTAAACGGAAACGCGTGTAAAAATGGCAGTGCTACGATGGAATGTGTACATTTTCACTATTTTTATTAGAATTTCCCAAAGACACGCACAAAAATTTCCATGTAATTCTGGTCGTTAACACTCCCGATTGCGCGCTGGTCAATGTATCGTGCGCCGATATGCAGAAAAAGCCGCTTCTCGTAAGCGACAAAACTTTTCTCCATTTCAGCCAATAACGCCTGCCGGACAAAATCGTTGTCGTTCTTGAGCATATCATTGAAGAGGAGAATTTGCCCACCACCGGTGAGTTTGATGGTTTTCGTAAACTGATAGACAACCTTGAGAATAAGTGCTGAAGCCATATCCCTCACATTCGCACGTTCAATCTGGCGCAATCGGAGCTGACGGAAGACATCCCTACCGTCGATTTCTGCGTTTAGGGAAAGATATTCAAGCCGGTCCTCCGCCATCCGGAACCCGTTACGGACGGTGTACTTGAACATTGGACTGATCTCAAGCGATTTGGAGGGACGCAGACGGTACAGGGTTTTGAAAACGCCGACTTCATAATGTTGGTTGTCCTTCTCGAAATCGTAGTCGTACTGAACTTTGGCGCGAGCTGTTGTGACCATCCGGTCAATACCCAAGTATTCCCACGTGACTTTAGCAGTGTTAATCAGGTCGTTCTGCATCAGCAGCGGGTCCTTACGCCGTTTTTCGACTTCGGTGCCGCCATCAATACCGAAGAATTGCACCGCCCCGTCTCTCTCCATTTTCCAGACTTCCGGCTGCGCCCGATAGACCTGCTCCTCCGTTCTGCTTAAGAATCCAGCAAAATACCACGTCTCGTCAGGAATCCGATCTTTTACCAGTTTTAGTTCGTTCTCAAAAACGAGCGAAGAAGCCTGCGCGAGCTCTTTCCGATAAACCAGATTGGCGAACGCTTTCGTTGAGGAGGGTGTATTTCTGAGTCTGAGGTTTTCTTCCATTTGCAACCCAAAATCTAAGTCAACGACACTCGCCTGACGGGTTATCTTACGGTTCATGAAAAGCCGTACACCTTGCAGTCCAACATCGAACTCGTAATTCGGATCCTGATCGTTCTCCTCCTCGTCCCGGATACCGTTGTTGTTCAGATCGCTTTCGTCCAAAAAATCCTCATCAACATCGAAAAGCAGAATGTCATCCTCATAGTCAAAGATGCCGTTGTTATTTTTATCAAGATCTCCGGGAATAATTAGAGAAGGAGGATCGAGCGGGGTGTTATCGGAGTAGCGGTCCTGGTCATCGTTATCACCAACGGAGCGGGAGGCATCGAACCTCGGACCGACACGATACACTTCCGCCTGAAAAATCGTATCGCCAGCAGTTTGGAAGGCTTTGAAAACTGTTGTCGTCGCATCGAAACGTGAACCCAAGTTCTTTTGCAACGCACTTTTCGGCGTGACAGCCACCTCGGCTTTTAAACCGTAGTTGGTGAAATTGGTTTCCAGATCCACCGCCCATACGGGGACCTTGCGGAAGTACCAAGAGAGTCCTAACTGGGATTTACCAAACTTTGTGACTTCACGTAAGCCGATTCCAGACCCTTCCATGGTTCCCTCTTGACCATTGAGTCGGTTGAGGGTACCTGGAACCATTAAGATTGTCCAGTCGGTGCGATTCGAGCGGACCTCCCAACGGACACCGCTGAGGTCTATCTGATCGAAGGTGAATTTTGTGAAGGTCGTCGGAACCTCTCCGAGACTCAGGATATTTTTGACACTACCGGCGGTCTCCTCAATCACTATGACACTATGGAAGCCGCGCCGAAAGAGGCGGTCAAAATCGAAATCGTCTTGCCTGACGCGTTCCTCTTCTGTATCGGCGAGGAAGTTGCGTCGGTTTGTGAAATCGTATTCGACACGTCCGGAAAGGAATAACTTGCCGAATAGACTGTACACGTCTTCTGCCTCAGCGTAGAACACAAGAGAACAGTTCAACAGTAAGAGGAGAAAGCCGGGGATCAGGCACTTTCGGGCACCTGTTTTTATGTTCATATCTTATTAGTTTTCAGTTTGCCTCACAGTGAGAGTTACAAGAGGGTTTCTTAACTGAAAGCCGATTGCTAACGGCTGACAACTATCTCAGAATATCCTCCGGTCCGTAGGACTCTGTGAAGGTTGTCCAGATGCCTGTGCGTTTATCGAAACGGCTCAATCCACGATAGGTGCCGAGCCAGACATAGGTGTGCTCCACAGCCATCGAGAGGATACCGTTATGCGCCAAACCGTCCTCTCGAGTGTAAGTCGTCCAGCTATTTGTCAACTGATCAAATCGACTGACCCCGGCGTTGTAGGTACCGATCCACACCTCTGTGCCATCAACACCGATAGTGGTAACCTTGTTGCTGGCGAGACCATTTTCTGTTGTATAGGCAGCCCAAACTTCTGTTTTTTCATTATAGAGGGTCACACCGCGGTCACTGCCAAACCAGACATTGTCGCCATCAATAGCGATGCAGCTCACTTCATCGCTGGCGAGTCCATCTTCCACTGTGATTGTCTTCCAGATATCCCGACCAATGTCATATCGGCTCACACCTCGACGTGTACCGACCCAGACGTATTTCTTGCTCGCCGTAATACACCAAATTTGATCGGTAACCAACGATTCAGCAAACTCTTTGGAAACGGCGGACGGTTGGATTTCAGTCCCCGATGTGTAGGTAATCCATGCGTTGCGGTCATCCGCTGTGCGGGGGTACTTCCCAATACCAGAATTCGTCCCAACCCAGATGCTATCGCCATCGCTGCTGACAGAAGTCACATTATTGGCAGGCAATCCATGCTGAGTTTTGTACTGATCCCACCGCAGTGCGATCTTATCAAAACGATTCGCTCCATCGCGTGTACCGACCCAGACGTACTGTTCATCGACCACAATAGAACTCACAACGTCATCGGAGAGACAGTCTTTCTTTTTCCGGCGATGCTCATGCCAATGACCGTTGTGGGTTTCTATGTTCTCAGATCCACCCTCCTGCCGATAATTCTTCCAGGTCCCTAAGACCTTGTCATAGCGGGACATACCTTCGTCAGTACCGACCCAGACGAAACGCTCATCTGTATCCACTGTCCGAATGGTACGTCCAACAAGGGTTGGGAGTGCCTTCAAAGGTGTCCAAGATTCCTTCCGCTTATCATAACGGGAAAGCCCTCGCAAGGTTCCAACCCATACATAGTCCTCATCAACTGCAAGCCCATACTCCCCTACATGGTTATGGAGGAGCCCTTTGAGATCTTTAAACACTGCCCAGGTGCCAGAGGCGAAATGAAATCGTCGAAGCCCATTATTCGGTGCGGCTAACCATAGATAATCCTCGTCGGCAGCCAATTCGAGCGTTCCGCGTCCCGATCTGATTGTGGTCCACTCCTTTGTACGCCGGTCGTATCGGGTAACACCTACATCTTCCCAAGGTCTGTAAAGTATCCAAACATCATTCTTTGTTGCGATAATGCGTCTAATGGTATTCGCAGCAAGCACGTCATTCGTTGAAAACGTCGTCCATTTTTTTGTTTTCTTATCGTATCGTGACAATGGACGGTTGCTGCTTCTGTCCCATTCCGAACGCGCAACCCAGATGAAATCATCATCTACAGTAATCCATTCCCCGCCTCTACCTGCCAGTCCATCCCTGGGTCCGAAATCCTTCCATTCACGGGTGATCTCATTGTAACGAGTCAGCCCACGCCCAGATGCGAACCAGACATTCGGTCCATCAACCCCAAGTGATTTTATACGTTCAACCTCACGGTTATCTTCTTCTTCAACCACGTCCCATGTCCCAGTCGCTTTACTATAATGGTTTAATTCCAAACCTATCATCGGAATGACCCAGACGCTCTGCTCACTGACAGCAATTTTGTCCACATCGTTTGTAGAGAGTCCATCATCTGTCGTAAAATGCTGCCACGTATCCGTCATTTTATCATACCGGAGAATACCATAGTCCGTCGTGAACCAGACGGCATCAGTATCCACATAGGTCCAACGCAGAACCGTCATGGGTCTTTTCTGAGTGGACTGCAGAATGTCTAAGCGCGTGAAACGCCGCCATGTTTCCGTCGGACGATGAAACCGTACAAGACCACCGTTTGGTGAAGACCGCCAGTTAGTGAACCAGATGTAATCCCCATCAAATTTGACGTTTGAGACCATCGTTTCAAGGAACGGCTCTCGCACCGGACGGGATTGATGTAGCACCTCTCTCCCACTTTGCGAGTCATATTCAACGAGCCCCGTATCTGTCGCCAACCAAAGTGTTCCATCTGTCTCACACAGGATGTCGCGAACGTTATACGGCACGTTTGAGAGAGAATTCCAAGAATCGGAAGCAATCGTGTAACTTCCCAAACCCTGTGGTGTGCCGATCCAAAGGGTCCCATCACGAAAAGCGAGTGCAGTGACATTCGGAGAAGGCAATTGGTCATTAAAGGAGAGTGGCACCCAACGCTGGCGGGCTTTGTCATACCTTGCAAGCCCGCGGCGCGTCCCTGCCCAAAGTGTATCTTCTTTTCCTTTTTCACCTATGGACAATAGGACATTAACATACGGATTCGGAAGACCATCGGCAACACGGTGCATCTGCTTATCGGTGATCGAATATCGCCAAACACCCTCCGCACCACCAAACCAGACCCTTTCATCACGAGCGAGTACGGACAATATGAGCGGGTTTTTGGGTGGGTCAGGCAGTGCCAGTTGTGTCCATTCTTGGGAAGTCGCATCATACATCGCAGGACCGGAACTCGTACCGAGCCAGATGTAGTGGCTTGGCGATGCAGTATCCACATCAACAGATGTTACAAAAGCTTCGGCCTGTGTCTGCTCCCGAGATGGGGTATGAAATGTCCAATCACCGCCCAGGTATGTTCGTGTGCCAAGCCCTCGATCACTCCCAATCCAAATGGCTGTTGGCTCAGACTCTCCCACGCGCGCCGAACGCTTTGTATCAGTAGGCGTGGGCGAGTCTGGGCTTTCGGAAGAATGGCTATCGGAAACCATCGACTGTCGGGAACCATCGGTTTCTGTCAGTAAAGAGGTTTCTGATGAAGTAGAATCCTCTTGCTGACTGCTGACTGCTGACTGCTGATGGCTGTTTTGCTGACTGCTAATATGTATCGATGTGACGTACGGTGTCGGCAGCCCATCTTCTCTGGAAATAATTGCCCAGCTGCGCGTTTGAGGAGAGTAAATTGAAATCCCTGCGACTGTTGCCAACCAGAGGTTTCCATCGGCATCACGTACTATATCGCGAACATCGTTGTCAGCGAGGAACTCGGCTTGCTTGTAAACCGTCCACTCGCCACTCACCTTATCAAACCGGCTCACGCCATCCTCTTTACTACCAAACCAAACATCGTTGCCTTGTGTCGTAATCCAACTCACATGATTGCTGGACAGTCCATCTGCCTTGGTGTAATGCACCCACGTATTGACAGGCTTAATGAATCGATGTACACCCGCATTAGCAGTCCCAAACCAAACCTGGAATCCATCTGTGCGAATGGAAGTGATCATATTGCTTTTCAGCAGATCCGTTTTCGTATATGTTTTGATGAACGTCTGGTCAATTTGATTGTACTGACTGACACCCTCATTTTGGGTACCAAACCAAACGCTGTCATCGTCCACCGCGATCGTAGCGATCTCACTGTCTATTAAGCCATCTGACTTCGTATAGTTATTCCAAGAATCGGTATCTCGATGGTAGCGACTCACGCCGCCTCTGCTGAACCTCGGATCCTCGTCCCATCCATGCGGATCCGGGTTTATCTCTCTATCGGTGCCGACCCAGACATACTCTGGCTCGACCGCGATTGTTGTAATTACTTTGCTGACTAAACCGTCTTTCCGGGTACGCACCGCCCAACTATCAATCGTTTTGTCATAACGATTTAACCCCTCGGATGTTCCAAACCATACATAGTTCCCGTCCACCGCAATAGAGGAAACCTCGTCGCTCGCTAAGCCATCAATGCTTCGGAAGGTCGCAAAGGTGTTTGTCTGCATATCGTAGCGGCTTACGCCTTCATCCGTGGCGAACCAAACCCACTGCCCATCAATGGCAACAGCATTTACCATATCGTTCGACAATCCATCTTCCATCGTATAGTGAAGCCACTTATCCTGCTGGCGGTCCCAGCGAGAAACCCCTCTTGCCGTCGCAATCCATACATTGTCTGAATCCGCAGCAATACAGTTGACCTCGTCGCTAACAAGCGTCCGTTCCACGGGCCACGTCTTTGCAGACTGTGCATCTGTTTTGGAACCTTCATAAGGAACACCAGATTGTGGATCGGTGGTTAGCAACGGTCCACACCCAACAATCGCAAAGAAGGACAACAGCAATAAGGCACATGCAACCGAAGCAGCGTACAAAGGTTTGCATTTGAGTCTGACAATCCAAGGCTTATTTTCATCTGATCGTTTCATCATTTCCACCGTCTCCCTTTCACTTAAGTTTGCGTCTCGCAATATGAGGACCACTTTCGTCACTTAGCATTTATTATGCCACAAAAACACTTCATATGCAAAGAAAGTGTAATTACGGGCAGGTTCATTTAGACATCAACATCTAGACATCAACATCTAGACATCAACATCGCGATTCAGCGATCGTCGCTGATTTTCTGATAAAAAACCATCACGAGTACCTATAACTAACCCAAGTTGCTACTAACAAGTTTTGAACGTTTCAACAAGGTTTTTTAGCACTTTCTTCACCCCGGAGGGGTGGTATGTCTATAGAAAACGGCGCATTTAAGCTATCGCACTCCAGCGGAGTGCTATGTCTACAAATAGGTGGCAACTTGCGTTATAACTATGTGACGTATATCATCGGTGCATCCCTTAAAAAAGTTTTACAAGTGTAATGCTCCGCTACAACAATTTTAGAAGGACATCTGCGACATCCAAAATAGTGTAGCACCGCAAATATAGTTTTCAACTCACCTAAGTCTTTAAAGAGTTGCGGACATTTGGTTTCCTGTAGGAGGGATCTCCGAATCCCGACGCTTACGAGGGGTCGGGCGTCAGCCATCGGTTAAAGAGGACGTTGATGTCGGCAAAAACATCTTGTAAAGAATCAAAAAGTGTTTGACAAAAATCCCTTGATGCCCTACAGTAGACTCCAAGAGACAGACCGATCAATTTGAGTTTGACGATAGAGATGGAGGTATTCCTATGCCATTTGGAGACAATGACTGGCTCGCTTTAACCGAGGAACCGACACTGGAACCGGAGATGCCGATTTGCGACCCGCACCACCACTTTTGGGATTTCCGAACCGAGCGTATCCCTTATCAACGGTATCTACTCCACGAGTTGATCGCGGACATTGGCAGCGGACACAATGTACGTTCTACCGTGTTTGTTGAGGCAAGAGCAATGTACCGAGCCGATGGACCAGCGGAGACGCGTCCCGTTGGTGAAGTCGAATTCGTGCAAGGACTCGCAGCTGCGAGCGCGAGTGGTTTATACGGCGAAAGTCGTGCTGCCGCTGCGATCGTTGGGCACGCGAACCTGAACTTGGGTGAACGCGTCGAGCCGGTACTGGAAGCCTTACAAGCAGCGAGCCCAAATCGGTTTCGGGGTATCCGTCATTCTGTCACTTGGGATCCCCATCCGGAAATAGATGGTACTTCTACATACAGAACAGAGGAACAACTGGCGCGCGAGGACTTCCGTGCGGGTGCGCGGGTGCTGGCAGGCATGGGTATGTCTTTCGAGGCTTGGCTATACTTCCCTCAACTCCCTGAACTCGCTGATTTCGCCAGAGCAGTGCCCAACTTGACAATTATCTCGAACCACATTGGTGGTTTGCTGCGGGTCGGTCCCTATGGTGGTAGAGATGACGAAGTATTGGCGACTTGGCGAAACGGTATCGCCGCAGTAGCGGCTTGCCCGAACGTCCACATGAAACTCGGCGGTATCGGGATGCCGCGCACCGGCTTCGATTGGCATGAACGAGAACAACCGATCGGTTCCGAAGAGTTAGCCGAGTCTATGGCACCCTTCATGAATTACTGTATCGAGCAGTTCGGTCCAGAACGGTGCATGTTTGAAAGCAACTTCCCGGTCGATAAGGTTTCGTTCTCTTACAACGTGATGTATAATGCGTTCAAACGGTTGTCATCGGGCTACTCGGACGATGAACGCGCCGCGCTGTTCCACGACACCGCCGCTCGTGTGTACCGAATAGATGTCTGAGGCCTCGCGGAAGCGTCTAATCTTGCAAATTCACCCCGAACTCTTTGGCAACCTCCTCAAGTGAAATCAGCTTCGCTGTCCCAGCTTCTATTTCTGCTATGCTTTGATCAATCCTCTCAATAACTTCCGGGCGGAATTCCAATCCTTCGTCCGGATCGTAGTGGTAGTCCTCAAAGGCGACCTCCAAGAGTTCATAGGTGACATAAAGTTCTCGAAACGCTATGTCTAACTCCTGATCTGATGGATTCTGCTTAAGCAACGCGACGAGTCGCTCGCTGTACGGGAAAGAGCTCTTCGGCGACGAGGGAACGGAGCAGCGTTCGGTATTCGTCGGGTGGTAACTCGGCGATTTTCTTCTCTGGCATCGGATCGCTATTTAGGTAAATCCCCATCCGTCTGAAGTTACGCTCTTTGAGCGTTGTTTTCCGGTTGGCAAGGACATATTCGCGTTGTCGTTTTAGTTTTTTAGCGAGCGGTGTATCTGGTGTGAACCCTTCAAGCGGATCTTCCTCGTACGCCTCCAACCAATAGGCGAAATCCACGTAGTCGCCGTGAAAATGGAAAGAACTCCGCTTCCAATGCCTCTTGGGGACTATCCTTCGCGAGTAATGCAGCAAGGCGTTCACGCGACTTGAATAACTCTTCATTGACGAGCGTATGGAGCAACTCGCGGAATTCGGTAGGGCTCATCTCGGTAATGTTTTTCATGGTTCTCACCGTATGCGTTAAAATTTTAATGTTTAGTATACCACAAAACCCGTTTGATGTCCAATGCAGAAGCGTTGAATTCGCGTGAATCTTAGTTGTGTAAGGGTGAAAGGAGCATAGTCACGCTGTTGTGAAATTCGGTTGATCCCCTTCACAAAATATGGTATCCTTACACACAAAGAAAGGAGCAGCTAAATGGCGAAAAAAGAATCGCGTCGCGTCAGGACTTTAAGCGGATTTATGAAATGGGCAGAACAATTTGATTCCGGACAATATCTATTTTGAGGTGTTTCAAATGAGAATTAACAGAGATTATTTCTGGTTCCGGCTCTTTAAGGTGCGAGGCATAGGTCCCAAACTTCTGGTTTCTGTTGCTAAAATATTAGAAGCAGAAAACCTAAACCCAGAAATGTTGCCACTCAACCAAAGTGATCTCTCGGTGAAATTCCCCAAATTAGCGAAAATCCTTAAAGGAAAAATATGGGAAGAAGATAAAGAAAAGGTATCCGCAGAATACGAACAACTCAAAAAACAGAACATTGATATTATCTATCCGAGGCACCCAGATTTTCCGCCACATCTCCTTGAAATTTCACCAATTCTGTTTGTGAAGGGGCAGCAAAAACGTCTCAGGTCAGATAGCGTCACGATTGTTGGAGCACGGGATGTATCGGATAAAGGGATCCGCATTACGAGAAATCTGGCTGGTGGACTTGTAGGTAAGGGAATAAATATCGTCTCTGGATATGCAAAAGGTGTTGACTCAGAGGCGCATTTAGGTGCGTTAGAAGCAGAGGGAACAACGACACTCGTTCTGTCTAACGGTATCAAGCAGCTGCGTCAAAAAAGTGCTTTTAAGAAATTCAATTGGGATCGAGATGTACTTGCGGTTTCGCAATTCGACCCAGATACCAAGTGGCACGCATGGAATTCGGTGGCGCGAAATCAGCTTGTATGTGGACTCTCCAAAGCGGTTGTCGTTATTGAATCCGGACCTGAGCGGGATGCTCAGGGTGGAATGAGTGGGACCTTTATTACAGCAAAAACGGCTCTTGACATGCGTCTACCACTTTTTGTTCTCAACCCAAGCTGCCTTGATAACCCTCCAAAAGGTAATGCTGACCTGATTGAGTTAGGGGGCTATAGCCTCAATCCCGTCAATGGTGTAAAGGAAATTGTCGAACGTATCTCTGTCAAGACAGTGGAGCCCGTCCCTATTGCAAAACAGAATTCCGCTGAACAATTGCCAATTCCTTTTGAGGATTTCGAGATGTCCTAATTGGGGTTTGTACAGGCGTATCGCTGGCGAGGTTTCAAACCTCGCCAGCAATGGTATAAAAGCGAATCTCTACTCACCTTGAATCAGCTTGAACTTATGAGAAGCCTCTTCCACCCCGACGAATCGGCTGTAAATCGCAACGCGGCTCAGCTTTGCCTTCCCAATTCCTGCCACCACTCGCTTCATCGCCGAAAAGCAACGGGATAGAGTTCCCAATTGCTGAAGTCTCCTTGCGTCCCATTGCTAACATAGACGAGCTCACCATCAATATAGCAGTAGACGTTCCCCGAAAAATAACTGACGATGACGTGCGTCGGTCTTCCCGACTCAATTTTACCGAAAGAAAACTCACCACCTAACGCATTCGTGCCGGTACGAGGTGTACGGATTCTCATGGTAAAACGGTTGCCATCTTGTCCCAAAGTAAAGTTACGATGGGTAGAGTCATTTGAGAACGAGATAATCCGTGCGGGACCGTCCTGATCCAGATTATCCGTCGTAACGAGACATTCAAGCGTCAATTGGTTGCTTGCCTGACATGCTTCCAGAAGCGCGTCATTCACACCCTCGGTGAGAAATGCCCCGCCGGTCAGATCCATCTGCCCATCCTCACCGACTTTCGCATCGCCACGCGGTTCAATCTCTCCACTGCCTTCAAGCGCGCTGTGCCAGAGAAAAACGAGTCCGTCGCGCGAACCGGGAAATTCTGTATGCGTTCCGATGTCAGCCGGTGCTTGTGGTGATACATGGATCGCAAGGGATGTCGTTGACGTGTCACCCTCCGTGTCCATCACCGTGAGCGTTGCGATGTACTGTCCGAGATTTTCGTAGACGTGCGTCGGATTCGACGCAGTGGTCGTCGCACCGTCTCCAAAATTCCAGTGGTGTGCCAGGTCCCCTGCCGCTGAGAAATTCACTGTAAGCGGGGCACTGCCTTGAAGGACATCGGCGGATGCTTTTGCCTCTGGACGGAGTTTCTCCCCCGGTGCATACGGCGTAAATCGGTAGGCAACCCCGTTATGCGGCGAAGCGAATGTATATTTCCCGGGTTGTGCCGTGCCAACAGGGACAATCTTCATGTTCCACGTATCCACGCGATCGACTTTATAGGGCTGTTCCCCTTTCAAGTCCAGTGTTATCGTTTGCGGTTCGGTCGTGTAAGCGAGATAATACTCCGCCTGTTTGGCAAGAACATACCGCCCCTTGTCATCACCGATCGGCTCAAGCGTATCAAACGCAGGTGCGTTGGTTTCCATGAAGTCTTTGAGAAATGCTATCCGCGGTGGACTCTCACCCCGCAGCACACCACCTTTCGCCCACCAGAGGAGGTCTTCGGGATGTTTGTATGTCTCTCCATGCCCGACATAGCACCCAGAGACCGTGCCTGCCCAAAAGCGTTGCACCATCTCTTCGGCTGTGATATTTCCCCATCCTTGCGGAATATTGCCCTCGTAACGGCACTCATCATAGATAACAGGTTTCCCATATTGCGTGCGATAGCGAATGCCCTGTGCCATGTTGGAGGTTTGGATACTGGTATGTGTTACCCACGACTTATTGTGGTCATACCAACGTCTGCCGTTGTGGATCCCGCGCAGCCGCTGATACGGATCATGATCGCGAATAATCTGGAAAAACCGATCCCAGTCTGATTCCTCTTTCGCAGGCATAAAGTCGTACTCATTCGCGAGGGACCACCAAACGTTACGGTAAGCTGCCAACCGTGCAACGGCGTATCGGATATATCGATCATCGTTTTCGGCATCCATATTCTCAAAATCCCATCGGTCGTAGGTATGAATAAAGGATGATGTCCGCCTCAATGCCGAGATCCAAGAGATCTTGCACCCGTTGCTCGAAATGCCGCCAGAATTCGGGATTGAATCTGGTGAAATCCCAATCTTTTAGGGGCTTTCCCTTCAAAGGGGTAGTGGACGGGTTCATTTTTGTTGTAGGAGTAGTCTTTTGGAAAAATGCACATCCGCATCTTGTTGAAGGGTGCCTCGGCAAGGGTTTCGAGCGTCTGTTTCTCCATCGCTTCCCCCTGGTGCGCCCAAGCATAACAAGTCGTTCCGAATTGATGGTAGGGTGTGTCATCGGCATAGCGGAGATAAAAATCTTTATAGACGCCGACAGGTCCGTGGTTTCCGTCGGACGGCGCGACGCACGTAAACTGTCCTGTTTTGCCGTTGAGTTCAGCAGTGTTGCTTTTTGTGGTATACGTCCATTCACCGACTTCGTCGGGCATGAATCGGATTTTGTAAACCCCATTTCCGTCATAGAACCCGTGTGGTTCAAAAGTCCGACCGCTTTGTTTGAATTCTGCCGTTAATTCAACTTCAGTGAACGGATTTCCTGTATCCGGTCCATTCAAAGTTACTTCATATACTCCCCAGCGTTCAACCATATTCACCTCCGATTTTGGCGCAGCTTGCAGGTTTCCAAAACTTGCTGTTAAAAAGTGTGCATTCGCGAGCGAAAACGCAACTCCAAAAATCGCTATTCGCAAAATGTATCTTATCGTTAAGTGCCTCCCTGACATACTCTTATATTCGTAGTCAGATGTATGTAATTTTATTGACATTTTCTAAGTCCAATGTTAAGTTTCTAATAGTATTGTGCCACATTTGGATAGAAAAGTCAGGTTGTTTTTTAACAGAACACCCTCAGTCGTGCCTACATTCCTCGAATGAATTCAGGGGTTTTGGCACGGAAGATTGATAAAAAGGATATTCAACATGACGTATCAACCCCTTGCTGAAGTCCGGAAAACGTTCCAGTGTAAAATGGTACCGGAGCAGAATAGACCACGCAACCTTACGTAATCTATCAAAACGAAGCGACTTGCAAGGCTGGTTTCAGGCAGGCGGACATCTGGTCCTCTGGCTACTGACGGGGAGTGTAGCCTACTTCTTTTGGTCGCAAGCGATGTGGCTCGGCTTTTTCATTGCCCTATTTGTGCATGGCACGGTCGCCAGCTTTTTTAAAGGGACAGCCAATCACGAATTGGGACACGGCACCGTATTTCGTACCAAGCGGCTGAACAAATTTTTTCTTTCCCTATTTAGCCTCATAAGTTGGTGGGATCATTTTGACTACGCCAGTAGCCATACCTATCATCATCGCTACACCTTATACCCCGAAGGGGATCGCGAAAACCTTCTCCCGCTTGAACCTAAGCTGGGCTCCCTGTTCGTTCTTCAACTGTTTACCATAAATTTGCTCACGCAACCCGGTCGCACCTTTAGCAAAGGCGGGCTTATTGCTGCGAT